GCAGATTGGAGTGCGAGAATTGTATTGTGGACGAGAAGTGCAAAACAAATTACAATTCTGAAAACAAAATAACAAATTACAAATGCAAATCTAAAAGGCAAAATAACAATTCAGAAAACACAACAGTAATTCTGAAAACATTATACAGAAAACACAACGACAATGAAATGAGGTGTACAGCTCTCCACTTGAAGCGCGTCAGTCACATTCGTCAGGAAAGTGAGTGAAACACGTTTTTAAAATCAAATAATACGTCATTAATAGCGGTTCACTTCCATGATTTGGTATGATTGCGTTCATATCAGCAGCAAACCGTAGCCTACCGGAGTTCACATGAACCGTACCCCAGACCACCTTTTTAAACAGACTCGGGTACGGTTCGCGGGTGCGCACCCGAGTTCGGAAGACAGCGTTCATCATCCAAACGAACCGAACTCTGACATCAATCGAACCCGGGTGAGCACCAAAAGTGCTAGTGTGAAAGCGCCCTTAATGCTGTTTGATATAACTCAATTCCAGTTTAATTTTCCTAATAAAAATTCTGTTCAACTCTTAATATTTTGTATTAATATTCTCCCCTTTAAATTATCTCTGCCCCACAAAAATCCCAATTTAACACACCTCTGCCTGTTTTGTTGTTGTTTTTTTGCATTCCTATTTGCTCAAATAGCAAAAGAAAATTGCCACAATCTAGTGTTTTCACGATTGATAAAAAAAATGAGAGAGACTGAACGGCAGCCAGAAGAAAGAACTATGTCAAATTTACCGTCACTCCCATAGACACTGTATTATAAACACCCTCCCATTAGCGTTAACTAGTTTTTGTAATCTGTTTCAAAGGTAATACAAGTACAGTGTTGTAAATGTACATGAATATTAATTTTTATTCCATAGTAAGGGCAATTCATACAATACATTTAAACTCTATTACTTTAAGACCATCTCCGAACTTTCTACCGCTAGTCTGCTGTTCTTCCTGTATACCTTGATTGTCAGATGTCTGCTGCAGAGGCATTGTAACCAGAACCGAACAATGTACAGGACTCCCTGAGCTAGTCGCATCCAAAGCCGTATCTAGAGCCCTCACATTTTTACTATCCTCAATTAAAGTTTGGATGCATGTTTCTAATTCTGAAACCTTCTCTGTCAGCCTAACTATTTCCCTGCATTTATCACATGTGAATCCCTCGTTGCTGACAGCGAGAGATAAACTATACATGTGGCAAGCGGTGCAAACAACAATAGCAGGAGAAGAAGCCATTACTCACTGTGATTGATGAATGATTCTGACTTACCACTGTTGTTTGATGAACTCCTGAAAAAATGGAGCGACAGAGAAAAGAATCGAAGCGAGAGAAAAAAGAAAACAGTAACAAAAACAAACCTGTGTGTGTGTGTGTGTGTGTGTGTGTGTGTGTGTGTGTGTGAGTGTGTATATTTATGTGTGTGTGTGTGTGTATGTCTATATATTTATGTGTGTGTGTGTGTGTATTTATGTGTGTGTCTGTGTGTGTATATATCTGTGTATTTATGTGTGTGTGTGTATATATATATATTTATTTATGTGTGTGTGTGTGTGTATGTGTATATATTTGTGTGTGTGTGTATATATTTAAATATGTGTGTGTGTGTGTGTGTATATATATTTATATATATGTGTGTGTGTGTGTGTGTGTGTGTGTGTGTGTGTGTGTGTGTGTGCAGGATTTCCCCTGGAGCGGTCGTCGTCTGGGTCGGTGTGCTGTGGTTGGCAGTGGTGGGATTCTGAAGAACAGCAGCTGTGGACGTGAGATCGACAGCGCAGACTTCGTCATACGGTAAACACATCCCATCATGCCTTGCTCCCTCAACACTTCCATCAGTAACCATGCATCCGTTATGTTAATGTCAAGAATATGGACGGTCAGTGTGTTTGTTTTGTCCCGTGCTCCGTGACCTAGTTTTCCCTCGTGTGTGACATGCCCATATTTGGTTCCCTTCCTGTTCCAACTGTGTTTCATTGCTCACTGGTGTGTTTCCCCAATTCCCTCGTTAAGTGTAGTATTTATAGTGTAGTCTGCCCCATGTTTTCTTGTCGGATCTTAAACGTCTACTCCATGTGCTACGTGTGTGTGTTCCTGCCTGTTCTATGTTCCCAGTGATTTGGAAGATTAAAGACTGCTATTATTGTAATTTCCTCGTCTCCTCGTCTCCTCGTTCCTCGCTCCTTCACTGTAGCTGAACCGTGACAGTTAACACAAAGTTTTCTCTCTCTTTCAGGTTTAATTTGGCGACAATTAATGACAGTGATGTTGGGCTGAAGACGGATCTTATAACCATCAACCCCAGTCAGATTCGGTCAGTGTCCATAAGCACAAGATCAGTTAACATTTAAATAAGGACGTTTTCGATTCAGATATAACTCTCAGTGAGCTGGATTCTTGTTTTATAACATTCTAACTTAAGATTTTGTCATTTAGATTAACATCCATGGAATCTTTCAGCTGCACAAAAAAGGTCCTTTAGAATATTGAAATGTTCTTCACACTAAGAAAAAAAAAAGGTTTATTTAACAACAACTGTTCACGGAAAAGGAACTAAAAATGGTTCTTCAGTGGAATCACTGCAAAAAAAAAAAACTTTTGCAACATTTATTTTTAATAGTTTAGTTTAGCTATAATTTGTTAATTTGGAAGCTATATATATCCAGGTGATGCTCAGACTCTATTTTAAGTTTATTAAAGATGTATTCTGGTTACATATCATTTTTATGATATCACTCGTATAACTCGGCTCATCTGTCTGGTTGTAAAGCAAAGTGTTCTTTTAAATGGGAACATTGAGAAACTGATTTGCTAGAACCAGTCTAACTGAATTTCATAGTTAATGATGGGAAGGTGTGGCCTGACTTGTTCTTGAAAGGTCTTGCCATTCCAAAAAGGTGGAGGAGTACAAACTGTTATTACAAACTGATGACACACTGGAAAAACATTGATGTATTTAACTCAAATAATTACAGGAACAGCATTTACAACAAGTATGTTAATAAATCCATTCTCTACATGTAGGCAAACAGATTTGGTTGAACTAGTTCTCATAATGTTGTTCATAACATTATTTATCACATTAACAGTATAGTATGGTGGCCGAGAGAGCTCAACACACTGCAAAGGAAAAAAACAAACAAAAAAATAAATAAAATGGAATGACACAGGGAAGTATTGAATTACTGAAATGTATTTAATGCTTCGTACAGAAGCTTTGTTGGTGATGACAGCTGTCTGAGAAACTAGTGGCATGCATTGCTCAGGTGTGAGTTTGGCCCATTCTTCCACACAAACAGTCTTCAAATCTTGAAATCTGACCTTTAGTTCTTATTTTCTATTGGATTCCAGTCAGGTGATCGGCTGGCCGTTCTAGCAGCTTTATTTTCTTTCTCTGAAACCAATCGAGAGTTTCCTTGGCCGTGTTTGGGATCACTGTCCAGCCTGGTTTCATCTTCATCATCCTGGTACTGTAGGTGTTGGCACTGAAGCTAATATTAATTTCCACTGACGAGGGCAGGATTGCTTTCTAATTACTGATAGATTTCAGCTGGTGTCTTGGCTTTCCGTGGCTTTTTGCACCTCCTTTTCTTCATGTGTTCAACACTTTTCCCTTGTGTCATTCCATTGTATTACACAGAACTTAATTTCTGAACGTATTTGTTTTGTTGTCTTTGTATGTATGGATTAGTTGGGTTGTTACCGACATCTGGTGAATATTTCAAGTCAACAGCATCTTTAGAAATATATTTACTGAGAAAAATGGTGACGTGTGTGTGTGTGTGTGTTTTATGAGTATTTGAAGTGTGTTTCTGTATTTGGTTGTGTTGCCAGTATTTGCGGCACATGTGCTGTCAAACTGATGAAGATGTTCTCTTAATTTGCTGGTGCTTTTTCTATTTGCATATGGGTTTTTTTTCACCGCTGCAGTATAGTCATTGGTCACAATCTAGCAGTCATGAAGCAATGAGCAATATCTTATCGCATTTATTAATCTTGGTTAATGTCATTCCATAAATGCACTATTGTTGATTTTAAATCACGATGCATTTACACAAATCATTTCAGCACTGCATCAACTACTGATCAATACACTCATTGTTATTTGAATTGTGACTCGGTTGGCTATTTGACCATGTATTACTTAGAAAGGTGTTTTTCTTTCAAACACATTAAAATGCACAAATTCACCAACTTCTTTGTCATCTGATCCTCTTTCACCTAATCTTTTTTTTAATCTGAAGTACCCCTGAGATTTTAAAATAAATATTTTAATGAAGTATCACATTTGCATGTTCATGGTTCTCTGATGTTGATTAATGGACATGCAGGTAAACAAATGTAGGTTTTAATAATCATTTTTATGATTTAATCATTATTAGCTATAAATTAGTGCTGTCAAACGATTAATCGCGATTAATCGCATCCAAAATAAGTTTTTGTTTACATAATATATGTGAGCGTACTGTATATTTATTATGTATATATAAATACACACACATGCATGTATATGTTTAAGAAAAATGTTACATTTATATATTAAATATATTTATATATATGATATAATTTATATGAATATATATACTGTACATGTAAATACATGTAAATATTTTCAAAATATATGCTGTATGTGTGTGTTTATATATACATAATAAATATACACAGTACACATATATTATGTAAACAAAAATATTTATTTTGGATGCGATTAATCGCGATTAATCTTTTGACAGCACTACTATAAATATGACACAAGGCTATTTTATTTAAATCAATGTGAAATGCGAGTTAGGTCAAAAGTAATCTAAAAGTAGTCGGATTACATTACCTAAAATGTGTAATGTAATGGATTATGTTACTAACTACAATTTTGGTCATGCAATTTGGAATCCATAACAGATTACAGTTTGTAAGTAATCTACCCAGCTCTGTCTGTCAATAATGATTAAGAGTGTTTATTTCAAACTGTGTCTGTAGATACAAAAATATGGTGCAGGATCCGGATCCGTTGGTGGAGCGGGTCAGTGTGTACGGAAACGCCTCCCTCGCTATGGCCGCCTTTGCCTACACCTTCTGCACTGGAAAGTCAATGACAACTCTCAAAGCCCTCCATCCAGTCAGACCTCAGCAGCCGGTGGTGTTCTTCAGCCCCCTTTACCTACGAACACTGGACCGTTTCTGGAAGGGGCGTGGCCTGAAGTCGATCCGCCTCTCATCTGGGTTTATGTTAATTAACACGGCGCTGGAACTGTGTGAGCATGTGCATGTTTACGGATTCTGGCCCTTTGGAACGGACCTGAAGGACAATCCGGTACCGTATCATTACTACGACGCGTTGAGTCCGCACCGTTACATGCACAAAATGCCGGAGGAGTTTGTGCGGCTTCTGCAGCTACACAGCCAGGGGGCGCTGACACTGCACCTGCGGCCCTGCGTGGACTTGTAATCTTATTTTAAATGTCTATGACTGTGATTTATTTATATGAGAGGACAAATCAGTGGCGAGAGGTGACTTTTTTTTAACCGGGTATGCTGAATGCTAACAAACCCCCCCCATCGGCTTTTAGGACACTCTCAAAAGCCAAGTAAAAACCGCCAAATAACGTTTACACGTAGTTACTTTATGATACGTAGCCTAATATTCAGAGGGTGGAGAGAAGGTGGATTCCCTCGCTCTATATGTCTCTGCATCGACTGAATGATTTTTAATTTAATTTTATTGTTTTATTCCCAGTGAATGGGAATTAAAACTCCCACCCGGGTGACACTACTTCGATAATAGACCAAGCACAATACCAGTCTTTAAAATATTGCCAAGTAACATTGCAAACAACAATAAAATCAGAGAAGGACTTTAACCGAAAACGACACAAGCATACGGAAATCAAAGGTGAAATTGTTTCCTCTTCTTTTCCCCGATGTTTGTTATTATTTAAAATTGTATGTACATTTTAGGCTACGTCCACACGAAGCCAGAGCTTTCCCTATCCGATCTTTTTTTCCCCTCGTCTCAAGAAATATCTGCGTCCACACAAGACCATGAAACCGACACAAAACGATGTAGTATACATGCCAGACCAGTATGTGGCGCTGTAATTCTGCCACAGAGATACACTAAAAACGGAGCAGACGACTTGGACTATGCGCATAAACCTTGCGCGCGGTATACAAACGAATATGTAACAATACATTTATTAATCTGTGTTAATATTAGTTAATAAAAAGACAATTGTTCAGTGTTTGTTCATGTTTTTGCTGCTGTTACGTGACGTAACGGTGTCTGACTAGGGGCGAGATGTGGGCTAATGACGTCATCGCTTCAGAAAATATACGGATTCGCTGTACACACGAAAACGCAAGGGTGGCGTTTTCAGATTTATCCACTCTGGGACCCGATTTCAAAAAATATCGGTTTCACTCTCCCAAAAACGCCGGATGCGTGTGGATGAAACGCCTATACGATACAAAATTTATGAAACCGATTTATTTACTTTAATTTATTTTATTTTATTTACAAACCACTGAGAACGTGCTACAATCCTGACGAGTTTCGTAGCAATAGAGTGGAGGCGAGAAAGCTGCGGAGAATACGCTTGCCCGGAAGCAACCGCAGCTGACGTAGATTTACAGAAAATTACCATTGTTTTTCAAATAAATAATTTTACGTACACTCTTAAAAATAAAGGTGCTTCAAAACGTTCTTCAAGCGATGCCATTGAAGAACCATTTTTGGGTCCACAAAGAACCATTCAGTCAAAGGTTCTTTAAAGAACCATCTCTTGCTTACCTTTTTGTAATCTGAAGAACCTTCTTTCGCTACAAAGAAGCTTTTGTGAAACAGAAAGGTTCTTCAGATGTTGAAGGTTCTTTAAGGAACCATTTAGACGAAAAAGTTCTTCTATGGCATCGTGAAGCACCTTTATTTTTAAGAGTGTACTTATTCCCAACACTTTGTTAAGCTTTACGTTACATCTTAAATGTTAAAATGTTAAAGGGATCAACTTATAATCATGTTTATTGATTCCATGAACTCCTTCAATATTAATTAAATTATAAATGAGGGCATAATTAAATTGTTTTAAATGAATGCAAAAGCACAAAACAATGCATCATCTTTATCATTTCAGGATGTCCGAAGAATAATGTTTTGTCAGATTTCACTGGAGATTTTGGGAGATCTCATGTGATTGTACTCAATTTTGGGATCCATTATGTTTGATATGGAATGTGTTATTGAAACGTGCCATGTCTTTGATTATATACATAGACAAAGTGTTAAAATAAAGTTATAAGTTTGAGCTCCGCTGAACACAAACATACATGCAGTGTTTCTGCGGCTGACAGATCTTTCCCTGACCAGCTTCTTAGTGTTTTTAGGACCGGGGCGAAACAAGTTGCAGTATTTCCCCTAACTGTGTAATACGGAGTGTTTTTCAAGGAGTTTTCGATGAGTGAATGATTAATTTCACTGCAGAAATTAGACTTCAGGTTGACCATGGCGAACAACAAAGCAGTTTCTCACATATACTGTAGATAAAAATACAGTGACTAATGACTCTATAAGAGCCATTTTGGTCTTTACTTTAAATTACGTACGTGTATGTCCAGTAGGGGTTTCACTCTTGGCTGATTGTTCACAGAATATAGGTGGGAACCTTCCCTTAGGTAATAGGTGCTGCTGGAGGGAAGGTGCACAGTTTAAGCGCTACGCTAGGCTGTTTGTACCACGTTATGCAAGTCTTTGTAAAGGTGAAGGACTGGTATTTATTGACAGTTTGTTTGGATTCTTGCCTACATGGAAATGAAGACCAGTAATATTAAAATAAATCTACAACAGTGAACAATTTAACATCTTGTGGTGACATTCCAGTTTAATAGTAATTCAAGCATGCGCGTCCATTTACAAGCACCGTCCAGCATCCCTCAGCTGCTTAAAGTATTAGACCTGGCCGCTTACAGACTCTTTAGTACCTTTAAGTTGTGTGTTTAGTAGCTGATGCTGAAACGGCGGTGAGGGAGAGTAAAGACCCGCGTCATCTGTCCATCTTTTCTGTCTAATGCTTCATTTATAAATTGAATTCATCAGAGCAGCACATGGTTGGCCAGTGATGGAGGAAAGTAAGGTAAGAGAAACTCTCTTAATGATAAAACATCAAATAAGCAGCGATTTCATTCTATTCTTTTTTCTCTCTATGACAGTCTGATCATGTAACTCCACCCACAACTCCAAACAAAGCCACGCCCTCTCCGCCAGTGTCCACAGCATGGCAGAGTGAGTGAAAATGTTATTTCTGAATGTTCAAAATGTCAAGGTTTTTTATTTTTTATTTTTTTAAATCAAATTCAGATTATTATTTATTGTCATTGTACTTACATCCAACAAAATTATAGATTTGTCAATGTATCCAGCTAAAGATTATTTAAACAATAAGGAATAATTAAATAAATACCATATTACACATAAATAAATAATAATAATTTTACACCATGCTGAGTGAAATAAAGTGCTCAATGCTCAATATAATTACACATGACAGGTTCTTCTTACATGTCAAGAATGTATTTTCAGTTCAGTGTTCAGTATGGTTATAGCTTTAGCATAATAATGTTCATAAATCTTGTGGTATGTGTTTTGTGATGATGTTCTGTGCAGATAACTCTCTGCAAAGCCTTTTTGTCAGCTGCAGAGCTACTTCCATACCACACCAGCATACCATATGTGAGGATACTCTCGATGGAGCAGTGGTAGAATGACAACAAGAACCGTTGTGACAGGTTAACCTTCCTGAGCATTCTTAAAAAGTATAGCCGCTTCTGTGCCTTCTTAACTAATGCCGTGATATTTATCGTCCATGTGAGTTCCTTTGAGATAAGTGTGCCCAGAAATTTTAAACTGAACACTCTCTCCACCATCTCCTCATTGATATACAATGGTGTATGTACATCCGGTTTCCTCCTGAAATTAATAATAAGTTTTTTTTATTTTTTATATTTTGTTTTCTTGATGTTCAGGGCCAGATTGCTCTCTGTGCACCACATTCAGCCTCTTTATCTCCTCTCTGTAGGCAGACTCATCGCCTCTGGTGATCAACCCCACCACAGTCGTATCTTCCGCGAATTTGATAATACTGTTGGTATTATACGATGGTATTCAGTCATGTGTATACAGAGAATAGAGAAACGGGCTTAGCATACATCCCTGTGGGACTCCTGTGCTGATTGTCAAAACTGAGGAATTATGTGAGCCCATTCTCACTTAGGCACAAAAGATTATCTGCCCGGCCCTCCTCCAGGGGAGGGAGTGGTACGTTCACCATCTCCCGAAGAGCAACTCCCTCCATCTCTGGGTCGCCCGTCTCAGGGCCTCTTGCTCTTTCGCTTACCACCAGGTCTGGCGGGGGCCTGGACGGGCGGGGCGGCTGCACACCGGGGCAGGATGTACCTGATGGCCTCAGTCTGCTTTTGGGCAGCGAATAACTACTGGACAAAGTTCTCCACTGTGTCGCCGAAAAGGCCGGTCTGGGACACGGGGGCGTTCAAGAATCTTGTCTTGTCCGTCTCGCGCATGTCGGCCAGACACAGCCAGAGATGGCACTCCTGGAACACCATAGTGGACATCGCATGACCCAGAGACCGCGCCATAACCTTCGTCGCTCGAAGCGCCAGGTCCGTCGCGATGCGGACTTCTTTGAGAACTTCCGGGTCGTGACCACCCTCGTGCAATCCCTCAGTGCCTTAGCCTGGCCGCCCTCGGCGACGAGCGGGCTGAGGCGCTGCCACCGGCGGCCGGGTGGAGGCAGCAGCTGCACGCCGGGGTAGGATGTACCTGATGGCCTCAGTCTGCTTTTGGGCAGCGAATAACTACTGGACAAAGTTCTCCACTGTGTCGCCGAAAAGGCCGGTCTGGGACACGGGGGCGTTCAAGAATCTTGTCTTGTCCGTCTCGCGCATGTCGGCCAGACACAGCCAGAGATGGCACTCCTGGAACACCATAGTGGACATCGCATGACCCAGAGACCGCGCCATAACCTTCGTCGCTCGAAGCGCCAGGTCCGTCGCGATGCGGACTTCTTTGAGAACTTCCGGGTCGTGACCACCCTCGTGCAATCCCTCAGTGCCTTAGCCTGGTGCACTTGCAATAACGCCGAAGCGTGTAAGGCGGACGCAGCTTCTCCACAGGCCGTATAAGCACTGCCGATCAAGGCCGACGAGTGCCTACAGGCCCGGGAGGGGAGCAGCGGTTTGCCCCGCCAAGTGGTAGCGGCATTTGGACACAACTGCATCGCAACCGACCGCTCCACCTGGGGAACTCCCGCGTACCCCCGCGCTGGACCCCCATCAAGGGTGGTGAGGGAGGATGAGCCACTAGGCCGGTTTCTGGCAGTGAAAGGTGCCGTCCATGACCCAGCGATCTCATCATGCACCTCCGGGAAAAAAGGCACTGGGGTGGGGCCCTGAGAACCAGCGCGAGCCACCCCGAGAAACAAGTTGTCCAACCTTGAGGGTTCGGGACGCGGTGGAAGATTCCACTCGAGCCCAACAATC